ATTTTGACTTGAGAATCTTACTGAAAATTGGGTACCAAGGTTGTGCCCTCCACAGAGGGACCACCATTATCCCCTCCCCCTCATCTTTGATAATTTTATTCAACGTTCTCATCATCAAAGAAAAAGGAGGGAATGCATAGAAAAATATATTTGACCAACTTATCGTAAAAGCATCAACAGCTATTGATTTCGGATCTTTTTTCCAGGAAATAAATTGTTTACATTTATTGTTTAGCTGGGATGCGAACAGATCGATGTTAGGAAGGCCAAAAGTGTGAATAATTTTCTTAAAAGCTAAAGAGTTTAACTCGTATTCAGTTTCTGAATTAAGCGACCTTGATTCAAAATCAGCTACCACATTACGAGAGGATTCAATATAAGTTGCAAAAATATATATATATTTTTAGACTCACACCACTGCCAGATTGCTTTCGACAACTCAGACAATTTCTTATATTTTACACCTCCCATACGATTAATGTAGGATATGGCGGTGGTATTGTCAACTTTTAACAAAATGGAGCAGTCTTTAAGGTCTGTTGCAAAACATCTTAGAGCATTATAGGCTGCTAGCGATTCAAGGTAATTAATATGAAATTTAGATTCCTGTAAACTCCAAAAACCCTGGGTAGATTCTGGACCTGCCGAGGCTCCCCATCCGACATTTGAAGCGTCGGAGTAAATTACCACTTTATAATCCTGAGGCCTAAGCGAGACAAGTGATTTTGGAATTGCTGTCATCCACCAATTTAATTCTCTTTTTATTTTGAGTGTTATTATCATTTGCGAGTTATAATTGTTATTCGAATTTTTCAATGCTAGATATTTATATCTTTCTAAGCATTTTGTGTGCATAAGACCGTATTTTATAGCAGGACAAATCGAGATAAGGTATCCTAAAAGTCTTGCAAACTCTCTTATTTTACAACTATTAAACTTAACAAATGTGTCAATTTTCAACAAGGTATCATGTCTTTTGCTAGCTGGCAGTGTCATGCACATGTTTATGCTATCATAAAGAAAACCTAAAAATATTACTGGGTATTAATTGGCTCTTTTTGTAATTTACAACAAAACCCAAGGATTCTAAGAGTGAAGTGGTTACGATTATATTCGTCCGACACTGATCTATACTATGCCCTAACAATAATAAATCGTCTAAATAATTAACTGAATAAAAACCTTTGTTTCGAAAGAATGAAATAACTGGTTTTAATAGTTTGGTATAAATATAAGGGGCAGAGCAGAGGCCGAACGGTAAGCAAGAGAATTCGTACAAAAACTTGTTAAACGTAAATCTTAAATAGTTCCTATGTTTTTTGTAAATCGGTATACAGAAATAGGCGTCCTTTAAGTCTAGAGAGGCCATATATACTCTGTAGGTAATTATATTTTTAACAATTTTATAATTTTCCATTTTAAAGTGTTGGATTGTTACATATTTGTTTAATTGTTGTAGATTTATAACAAATCTCTGATTTCCGTCTGGTTTCTGTACTAAAAAATATGAAGATAGAAATTGATTTTTACACGGTTGGCATTTATTGATTGCGCCTATTGCTTCTAATTTATTGATTGTTTCTTTAAGGTTCTTAAATTCTATTTTACTGTAACTTTTGGCTTTTGGCAGGACTAACTGTTTAGGAGTATGAAAAAATGGTAAACGGTAGCCAGTTATACAGCTCAGAATAAATCTGTCATTCGTTATAGATTTCCAAGATTTTTGAAAATACTTTAGTCTACCGGCAAATAAAGCAATATTGTTAACATTTACCTCTACTGAATTTGTCGGTTTCGGTAATTGTATCTGGCTAGGTTCCCTCTCGATGATCTCCATTGATTTCTGTTTCTCTCTTGTATTCGAGGCTCCTTTCTCTTGTTTAGTACAAACTGACTTTTCCGAAAACGTACAGATGTTTTGGAGACACTGCCAGTTTAAATGGCTCCTATTAAAGATTTGGCTGCTTGCAGGAACTTTACTCACCTGCAGCTCTACTGCAGATTTATTTATAGTTTGATTAATTTTACATTTCTCCATGAATGTTTTTCCAAAGAGAAAATTATCCATTTTAGATTCTTTGGCTAGTTTTTGCATGTCAGATTTTAAAAGAGGATAGACTTGATGTCTGCGATGCATTGATAACTGAAAATGGGCGTTACACTGAAGTTTTCCTGCTGTCATTAGATCAGGTATTATTTCTTTTATAACATTAGGGAGGTCTGCTATATCTAACAGTTTGCTTATCACTGATGATAAAGCACTTAAGCTTCCAGCTATGTCATTTTGAATATGACACATAAAGGAATCTTTTTTCTGATCGGTAGGCGAAAGAAGTGCTAAAATCTCTGGATTTAAGGTAGGTGAGTTGAAAGAGAGGCAGTTTTCAGGTGTTGGCCACTCGAGTCTTATTGTTTCTTTTTCATCGCTAGACATCCCATTGGTTGCGTAATAATTTAGCCTAGAGGCCACCTGATCACTCACTGGCTTGCCCATAACCTTAGGCATGGATGGATCAGTTCCCAGTATTTTATTTATACTATCTATTTTATCAGAGGGTATTGGAGAAAGTTCTGCTTCTCTGTGAACATCGACCTCTACGATATTACCCTGATTAACATCGCTGTGAACCGAATCTGATGAGGAAACACTTATGAGGCGAATTCTCTTTCTACGGGGTTCTATATCCTGGTCACTCCCACCTAAGAAACAAGAATGCCAGTTTTTCATTTTTAATTCAATATGTCTAAATAGCGAGAAAGGCTATTCAAACTCTGCTTAGTAATTTGCAAAGATAGCAAATTACCTCGACTCATAATGGTATGTGGGATATTTACTAAAAGCAGTAACTTACAAAAAACAGCGAGCAAGGCTGTTTTTTAGTTATACATATACATATGTATGGCGAGTAAAGCCATTTTAGATAATAACATATTTTTATCATGATGAATCAAACGGCGAGTAAGGCCGTTTTGTACGAGAAATTAACCTTCAAGTAGTAGAATGCTAAATTTCGCCTACAAATCATTTAAAAACAAATTCAACATGTCGGTAGATGACGCCTAAGGCCATTTTCGCCATAACCGCGTTTCCCTGATACACAAAACAATAATAAACATCGTACTTACTTGTAGAGACGTCCTGTAGCATTTCCTCTAATTTCTTCAACTTTTCTTTAATTATAATCACACGTTTCCTATTTGACGACATTGTGAACACGCAAAAAATGTAAACAAGAGGCGACCACACTCCTTCGCACCAAAAAGCATAATGAGATATTCGTATAGCTCAGGGTCTGGAGATGGGGATCCATGTTACTTTTCACAGGTGGCCCGCTTCGTTACCGAATCGCATTCTACAATATGTGTTCTAGTGGACCGGACTGAAGAATAATTAGAATTATATCGAGGCACAGACAGATTTTGTTCAATACTTGTAACCACTCTTCGTTCCTGCAATAAAGTCTGTTATTTTTTTACCATACGACGTGTGCATTCTTTATCTTATATAGGGTGATTGGGAAATTAGAGACTTCCGTACTGGGGCAGATATTGAACACTAATACAGATATAGGTATGTTCACAAAATTATGTGTAGGAAGTCATTCTTGCAGTATAGTGTGTAAATTATGTTGATACATTTGTTATTGAGATAGTACCAAGGTCTCTGTTATGAACAACAGTGTGGTTTTTCTTTACTTTTTACTACTGAAAAATTGAGCAACCTATATGTTTCCAATGACCGAAATGTAAATCAGACTTCCAAGAAACAGAATTTTTTAAGCTGAACAGTTGATATGAGTAATGTAAAAATAAATTTTAATCTCGACACAAGCAAGTGCAACCAGGTAGCTGGCATGGCTTCATACTAAAAAATACCTATATTAGTATCATCATATCATACTTGACTTGCTTATCAAGGCAGACGTATCCATTTCCTATCGCTATATAAAACTTCAGGCATTCGAGTAAAATACGGCAAGAGGTTGGCCCAAATACCTTCGCTTCGCAAGACTTAGACTTACCTGGTTTTGGTCTTAGTCTTGCAATATAACAGAAGTCTTGGTTTTGCTCTTGCATTGCATTGGGAGTCAGTCAGTCACCGAGCGAGTGTGAAGGCATTGGAGCCCATATACTTCTTAATTCATTTTATAAGATCCAATGCATAGTAAACGAAGAAACCCGAAACAATACGTGTGTTTAAATAACATAAAACAAAGGTCTAATTTGTGTGGAAAATATGGTTTTAGATAGGGTTTCGTAAGACCAAGACCAAGATTGCACTTTTTTGCAAGACTAAGACTTGACCCGCAAGACCAATACCAAGATACTTGACCAAAATATTGCCATATGGCAATTAATTGAATTTGTTGAATGCTTTAAAAAGTTAAGATTTAAAAGATCAAATGAATATTATGGAACTATCTTGGAGGTATTAACTAAATATAGGTTATAAAAATATGTTTTTTTTTTTTTGGTTTTTTAAACAAATAAAAATATATTAATAATAGATAATATAACATATGATTATGTTAACTAAGCAAGCTAAGCTAGCATTGGTCTTAGTCTAGCATTGCAAGACTTCAATTATGTTGCACTGCTTCTTCCATTTTCAGAGCAAAATAAAAAAGTCGCATTTTTTTTAGGAATCATGTCCATGTTCCATTAGGTATCTGTTTATTAAAATTCAGGTGAAAATCAGACAAATAACTTTTGAGGCGCGTTAGAAAGTTCTCTATTGATGAACGTTTCAAAATGTACTCATTTTTTTTGTTTAAGACGTACTCAACACATATTCTTTGTGAAATGAGTCTCGATTGTAATTTTTCTCTCGATTACTTTTCAGTGGAGAAATGTATAATAAATTGAAACCTCATTCAATCCGCGTCAAGTAAAAATAAACACTCCATCGTCGCTTCTTAACGCTTGTCGGTGACTGCCCAGGCATTTATGGCCAGCTGAAGACAACTTGACATGCTAATAATGTTCTCCCTTTTTTTCAGGTCGATTTCACCATTTTGATCATCCTCATCCATCTAATAGGAGCACAGAGAAGAAAAAGAGTTGGGAAACAGTAGGGAATGGTTTACCTGGTTGCTCCGTGGGGCATGGGAGAGAATGACCGGCGGAACCAGAATTACGCCGGTGCAGCAGCCGAAGCAACTGCCACCGCCTCAGCAATCACAGACTCCTTCAGAAGGTCAGATGGTAGCATCCTTGACGAGGTCGATTTGTTTCCTCTTTCCAATCAGGTCAGTTCTCCTCATCCTTAATATTTAGCAGATATATAATAGTTAAATCACACATAGAGATTGGAATAGTCATTCAATCACGCCGAATTGATATGCCGGATTCCCCACTGTTAAAATATTATTTAATACGGAAAGCTAAAATGCTTTTTACTTTCTACGCCACTGGGCGAGAAGTATTGTAATCGCGAAAAGTTTCGAAAACCAGATATGTGTTTTTTGGATGTTATAAATAGGACATATGACGAAAAATTAATCCACTCATTTCCATATGACTGCCTGTCTGTCTGTCCGGTAATCCTTGGAAAGTACTGCTCGGATGTGGATGAAATGTTGACACACAAGGTTATTACTATGCCAAGGGCAAAAAAGCATTGAAGTTTTTGAAAATCGGTCCAGTGGCAGCAGAGGAAAAATCCAAAAACGAAAAAATAATAATTGGTCAAACTTCGTTTTCTGGCGTTTCAGAGGCTCCTGTTCTTTCCACAAAATTTTTTTAGGGGTTAAAAATTGGATGTTGGGGGCTGTAGGGGGAAAGGAACTATAAATGCTGCATCTTTGATAAATAAAGAAAATGCGATTGATAATGTGCTGTGAAAATCGGTCCAGTGGCGGCGGAGAAAAAGGCCAGAAACGAATGTTCTGATCATATTGAGGTGGTGCTTCGGTGGGGATTTCCGCGTCTGACGATGTCGGAAGGGATGGATGTTGGATTGGATGTTGGAGGCTGTAGGGGGAAAGGAACTATAAATGCTGCGTCTTTGATAAATGAAGAAAATGCGATTGATAATGTGCTGTGAAAATCGGTCCAGTGGCGGCGGAGAAAAAGGCCAGAAACGAATGTTCTGATCATATTGAGGTGGTGCTTCGGTGGAGGTTTCCGCGTCTGACGATGTCGGAAGGGACAACGTTGTCCAAATGGCCGGTAACTACCGATAGGGAGGGAAATAATGTCTTTGGACTGATTGTATGTGCCTATTTGGCACAGTTGATCCGTTTAATTCCCCTATTGTAATTGTTCGTAACTATTTTTTTCCTAAAGGGTTTAATTTGTTATTTGTTTATGAACGTGTTGCGTAGGAAGTTCAGAGTCACCCTATTTTATACCATGTTTCGTCTATGTCATGGTTGTAATTTTGTGTCAAAATTTTCCTACATTCTAAGGGATGTTCTGCATGCTAGAGGAGCCAATTCTCAAAAAGAGTAAAATTTTCTACTCTCGTTATAGTTCTAACTATTGTGAGACTTTATCAAAATTAGTAGTCCTTTTTGAGCTATAGAAAGGCCATCGGACTTTCGTCATTTAATTGTCCCGTTGCTACCGGTATCTGAAAGAAGCTTCGTAATGATAGAACGCCTTTGACTAATAATACGTTACATTTACAACCCTCTATTTACCGAACAAAATCAGGAGCATCTGAAACGTTAAAAAACGAAGTTTGAGCGATTTTTGTTTTTTTTTTCGCATTTTTTTTCATTGATAGTTGGAACTTTGTGCGAAAATTCTATCAACATCCGAACGGTACTTCTGAAGTTATAGCCTGTTATAAAATTAGTGAACATACCGACAGAAACGAGTGTCATCACTTTTCGTGATGTACATGTCATATAACATCCAAAACACAAAATATCTCAATTACAATACTTTCTTGTCAGTTCTGGCATAGAAAGTAAAACGGAATCAAGTAGATGTGAGTAGGTACTTCTTTGGCTTCTATGAGCTATAGCTATAGCTGCATCTAAAAAAAAAATGACTACGTATTGAACTGATCAAAAACTCAAAAAATGAAACTTACGAACACTCTATTTTTCATCTTTCGCTCAAATCAAACATACAAAGCTTTTTATCAGAATCCAAACGGTACTTACCAACAGAGCGAGTCAAGGATTTGTTCTCATAATCTATAGTGAGACTCAAAGTGCACTTGACCTAAGTGAATTTTTTAACAGTTCTGTCAATAAACTCGTTATATTTACTTTTATTTTTTAAATGTACGAGTGCTTGCAGATAATTGCGGTGTGTGACTATTTCATGACATGGTAATTCTTTTCATAATTTGCAAAGAGCGGCACAAGCCTAATGAAGGTAGATACTTCTACCGGTAAGTATAATTGTTATCTTGATACGACGCTGTCGCTTTAGTAAATAATACAATTTAAATATATAGCCTTGGCTCCTTCTAATCTAATCGAATTCGTTTTTACTTACCGAATTATAAATGGGCCTGATATTACTGGTCAGACCGACGGAAATAGGTGAGATAGTTTCTTGTGATGTGAAGGTTATGTAACATCTAATAAACATATTGGTAGGTCCAATAGGCCTATTGTGTGGACTCTAGACAGATGTCCACACAGGCAGATACGAATACCACGATTTTGAAATTAATCGTAATTACAACACTTTCTAATAATCTGGCGAAATCAAATCTATTCACGAATATAAAACTTTTCTCTCCTATTGGCGTGGAAGCAAGAAACGGGTAACGTGTTTGAGATAGCAAAATGCGGCTTTAATTCTCAAGAACCATGTATCATTTTTGGGAATATTTCCTCCAGTTTAGAAAAAATCATATAACTTGGAAATGACGTACTTTGGACCTAGCTTTATAAATTCTGTAATAAAGTAAAATTCATCATGGATTATAAAAAAAATTTAGCTGACATCGTTTTTAAGGAATCTGTATAAATTATATCTAAACAAAAAAAAATGGGAAGTAGTAGAATTTTCGTGACCTTACGTAAAAGATTGAGCGCTGATTTTTGAACTTGCGGCATCAGCTGATCCGCGTTCTGATTGCGGGCTCCTGCGGGTCAATAGGTGGAGCGGGAATGCGGGATTCCGTTTTGCGGGATTGCATTCCCTAACTACGCATCAACTAAAGCAGTTCCTACGTCTTCCCACTATGCGCGTCCATATATCGAGACGAGCCACGACAAACGGAACTATTTATTTGCCAATTACTCTGAGGATTTTCCGTGTCCGATGTGTCTACCGCTGATGTTGCAGCTCGGCATTGCGAGTTTGTTTTTCTTACTTATAGCGCCTTTATTAATTGTTAGAGTCTATGGTATGGCAAGGACACAACAAATATCCTGGCTGGTTGTGTGAAAACTGCAAAAGTCGCAAATATTGGAGGGTGACTTCCTGCGCTTTAAAAGTCACGCCGCTTTGCTGCAGTTTTTGGGCTCTAATTGAATCTGCAGGAAAGAGTCCAGCGGAAGAATGGCATTTTTATTCTCTTCGTTTCGCTGTGCCTCAGTGGGCTTGTACCTTAAGGCGCATCTGATGACATTGTGCAGCCTTATAAAAATGACTGAATTGTGACAATGTTTTTTGACATAGAAGTACAAAGAGGATTTCCAACGATAAAGACACTTTTATTTTTGTATTTAATAGGTATATAAAAAACGAGTTTATTTTCCTACAATACGAAAAATCTGATGGGCGGGTTTTTATTCCATGTTGGCCTATGCTGGCATTAGTCGTACAGTACTATTTTGCCATTACTGTAACACAACCTTCAAGGTGTTCTGGGGAAGGAAATCATGGCAACTGCAGACCATGGATATATATATATATATATATATATATATATTTTGAGACGTGGTCATTGTCGTCTAGACCAGTTAGGTGAAAAATTAAAGCTTCCGCTTTTTGTTGGGTACTTCGACAAGATTTAAGCAAAGAGGACTCTTTATACTTTTTTTTAATTCTCTCTAGCTTTCAATGGACTTTGCCATCATCATCAGGAGCTGCAATTACAATGATAACAGTAGCAACAAAGGTGTAAAATGAATTTAAATTGACTCAACTTACAGTAGTATGTGAGAATGTTGCTAATTGTTGTTTACGCATATGATGAGGGAAACGTCCAGTAACATGGTGAGATCTGAATAGGTTGCACAATAGTCAAAATTTATACAAAACATGACAAGAACACGTTAAAACAGATTAAAAATTATTTTAAAAATTAGAACATTACATCGTGAAAACCACCTGATGATTGCACAAATTAGTGGTCATGGAATGATGAATTGATGAGCGACATGAAACCCTTTGACAGAAGGCCGAAGGATGTCAATGTCAGTATTGAAAGATGGAACGAATTGTGGGCGTGTGCCAAAAACGTTGCCAAATCACTTCAGATGAAGAGATTTACAGAATTTTATGATGGAATTTGTTAAACCGACCAGAGGCAGTTGAATAAACTATATTATTATTAATGGGAATTTAAATTAACAATTATTAATAAATCGTGAGGAGAGAATTATTATATTTTGAGTGGAATGAAATTTACTGGTGGAAACGGCCAAAACACAGATTCTAATTATGGTTGTGAAGAGTTGAAATTTGGGGAGATATGTAAGTTCTCCAATTTTTCGCAGTTTAGCAGATATGAGTAAATGACACTCAGTTGTTTAACATCTGTCTTTTTGTTGATACAGTTGTTATTCATGAAAATGTGGGACATTTCCAGGAATAAACGTTTGGAAAGGTGTTTTTCTTTATCAAGAACTTTGATACTTGTGTAATTCATAGAATGCCCTGTTGTGTTAACATGAGATGCTAGAGCGCATCTTTCAGGATGAAGCCTAGCATCACTTTTGTGTGATGTAATCCTTCCTTTAAGAGATCTGGAGGTCTGACCTATGTATATTTGGTTGCAGTTGTTGCAATTGATGGAGTAGACTGTGTTGGTTAAGCCAAGCAGCGGGACTTTGTCTTTCATTTTTGAAAAAATGCAGTTTATAGTGAGGACGGATTTGCAAGCAATTCGAAAGTTCAAAGGACTGCACAATCTGATAAGCTTAGGGGTCAGTTCCTTGATGTAGGGCAGGACAGCAAAACCAGGTCTGGAGTCCGGGTTGGTGCTAGTACTGTTAGGATTGATGTTATTATTGGGAATTACATCAGTTCCGTTATTGGGGGTTGTGCGACTATTACCTGCATCACCAGAGTTCGGCAAAATATTGGAAGGTGAACTAAAAATGATCTTGTTAA